CTATCGTTTTTCATTACTCTCTCTATATGGCTATCTATTAGCCATTTATTAACATTCAAAAGAAGGAAGTCTTAACTTTTGTGACAATATGAATGAACTCTGAGGACATAATATTCTCAAGGTCCATTCATGTTGTTACAAATGGCACTATCCAGGGTATGTATGGTTCAGTTGGTTGAGTTTTGTCCTGTGCACCAAAAGGTCAGAGGTTAGATTGCTGGTCAGGGCTCATGTCAGGTTATGGGCTCCATCCTCAGTAGGGGGTGTGCAGAAGGCACTTTTCAAATACAATAGAATCATGATGATACAAATATTTCCTGGTCCCTGTTCTGCTATGTTTCTTTCCTGGAACATAGTACCAGGCTGTGTGCATGTGTGTATTAATTTCATTTAGAGTAATTTCCCTTTTGTAATTTGGCAAAGAGTGCATTGGTAATATTTTCTCAAAGATAATATAGGACTCATACCATTTTCTTGTCAATTGCCTGTTCACTTCTCTACAGTGCATAACAATGCATTTTAAGGAATATGACTGTCTTATTTCTCATATTATTTTTCTAGTTCAAGATTAATAAAACATTCAATAAGTGTTGAATTTCCATGAATTGAGCCTATGCATATTTACATCATCCTACGATATGGTGCCAAATAATACTAGATTTATCAAGGGGATCACTTCACAAATTATAAAAATTGTCTAACCATTTGGCTATAAGACTGAATCAGATATAAAGTAAGCTTGGATGAACTGTAATTGAAAAATAAATAAATAAATAAATAAACATTTATAGACCTCCTGTATTTAGTTTTATATGTACCTGAGAAATTAATATCCACAGTCTTCTGAGTATAAAGGGAAGGTAAGCTAATTTGGGCTCTTTCTCATGCAAACCATTTCTTTTCTTTTGCCTTATCACCAAAGCCAGGTTTGTAAGAATGTCTCAAAAATTCCTTGTATAAAAAATATCACTTGGTCCCAGGAAATCCACATACTACACAGAAAACTTAATTTATAAGTAAATGTATAGGCATAGAAATAGATGCCATTTTTTCCTAAACTAATTATTTTAAATTAAATTTGTCAATAAACAAAAAACAACAACAACTTTTAGTTACAAGCATATATTGCACTTTTTCATAGCAACTAATTACACCTTAATTAAAAGCACATAATTTTAGATAAATGACTTTACAGAGGGGAAACCCAGTGTTAAGTCATCTTGTCAGTTAAAACACAATATTCATTCAACTCTGCTTCGAAATCAAAAGCGCAAATTGTTTCAGAAGTTTATTTTTTCATATATATATATATATATATATATATATATATATATTTAATTGTCCATATGATCTCTGTGTAATATCAAATGCGATATCAAGAATTAATGGGTATTCCATAGTTATTTCCACAAAACATAAAATGAACCATTTTGTTTTACATACACAAAAAATGTCTCTGCAACCCACTCTTCAAGAGGCAGGCTTAGAAAGACTCTCAGTGAATAAATAATCCTGATTATCTATTGTATCATATGGTTTCTTTCACTAATATAATAGGGAGCACATGCACACAGCCATGCTCTGGTATAGAATGCTTGTATCAAAGTGTAATTCATTCACAGTGGTCAAATCTGGAGCTAATCCGGATTTAGTTCAATTACAGTGTTATCTATACAACCAAGGAGTCTCGGTTTTGGTGGGATTTTTATTTTTAACAAAATGATATCTTCTTCCTTGTCTCTCTACTTGCTTAACATGATTTTCTGGAAAATTGCTCTCCTCTTTTCTGGCAATAACTGTTTTCAAAGGAATAGATTTACATATCAGGTATTTTCCTTGTCAATTGAATTATTTTGCTGAATTCTTGTTAGGATTAGAACAAATCAGCTTGCAAAGTCCAAATGATGGAATTGTTTGTTTATCATTTTTACTGCAACATATATTTATCTTAAACATCTATTAATATCACACTTTACTAGGAAATTCCATGCCCTTTCATTCAAACTGATTCTCATTTAAAATTAACACTGTATTGTAATATTGATTATTTTATTAACAGGACTATAACTTTCAGCAATTAATGGTAATATTTGATTTGGAATGCTTCACACTATTCTGATGAGGTTAAGTATATTCTACCTCAAAATGTGAATATTTTCATCCCAGAAACAAGTCCACTTAGTATTTACCATGTAATAAAAAGAAATGGGCAACACACTTACCCTAAACACACAGACACTGGGATGTGTGTGACTTTTCTCACTGACACTAGTTGCTGCAGCTAATGTAACTAATAATGATCATTTTCTTTGGGGGAAATTTGTCTTATTATAAAGTTAGACTTTGAAATTGTTTAAGGATTTTTTTGTGGGCCATAGTATTCAACTTAAAATCAATCTTCACTAAAAAGGAAAAAAAAAGGCAATATGATAATATTAGCTTATTTTTTATTGTGACATTAGTACATGGGATAAATTTTTTTGAAACAATTGATCTATACTGCTATCAACAGCATTGCCATGATTTATTCTTGAATTCAAACCTCCATAGAACATTGTGCTTCACTCCGAGGAGAGGATAATCATTCCTGTGTCCTTAGGCTCCAACTGTTTCTCACTTAACACTAGTCAATGAAATGACAATTGTGTTAAGAGGGGACTTAGCCTCCTTGCTCCTTAGTCAATGTAGTAATTGCCAGTAAGCCTCTTCCACTAAGAAGCAATTTCTACATGTGTGATAGGTTCAGTGGCCACTTCAGAGACAGGATCAATATGAATTTCAAATATTTCATAAGTACAAAATCATATGGTTAAAATGGCCTATAAGTTAGTGAATTCTTTCTTGTTTGTTTATACAAACACACACACAACAAAGAAAATAACTTTAACTTTACATTTTATTTGAAACATAAAAACAGTGAATTAGCCTAAGGGCATATACTGAAATACTTCAATATTTTCAAAGTTCTAATATTTGTTTATATCTTTTACTTTTCCTATTTTATTCTTTTTCTTTCCGTTATCATTTACTCTTCAGTTTTCCAGATAGATAGATTAGATTGATAGATGATAGATAGATGACAGATAGATGATAGATAGATAGATAGATGATAGATAGAAAAATGCATATATAGCCACTGACATGTTGTTAATTCTTTCCTGGACCACTATTTTAATACTTTTGATATTAAATCTATTAAATATTAATATATATATATATATATATATATATATATATATATATATATATTTTCTGCTAAATAAAATTAGATTCAAATTTTATTTTTTTCTGAAAATATAGGCTTATTAAAGGATACTGAATTTGGAGTAGATCTTGTATTCTATGGTGTGTGGTCAGAGTTGTCTAATTCTCTGGTTTGTAAGTTTGTTTTGTTTGTATGTTTTTTAAGTTTTTCATCCAGATTTCTTGGGGTTAACACCTGCCAGTATAATTAAGTGGTCAACAAATGATTTGGCCATAGTTCCTTAAATGCTCTGACTATATGTGTTCCATCCCTAACAGTATTTCCTGTGCAAGATGGCACATCTTCAAACTGCAGTTTGTAGGGCAAACTTCATTTCACTTCCTGTTTGCAGCCAGAGATTCTTTCTTTAAATATTCCCTGGATATGTGGTGTGCATATGCCTTCAGCCTTTTAGATCAACAGGAATATAGTGGTGCTTTCCAAAATTAATTACTATCCTGTATTTGACTGTTTTATCAGAATAAATAGGTGATGAATTTGAGAAATTCTATTTAAATTATCAATCACCCTTGGGTGGGTAGCAAGGGGAGCTGAAACTGAGTATTAAAAATAGACATTAATCATCATTTCCCATAATTCTCAGAGTAGCTAATGATGTAATAAAAAGTTTTTTACTAATTATTACCATACAGATGTTTATTTGCTTGCTTTACTAATATTCAGTGGAAATATGAGTTGCCATATTTTTTCTGACAATGAAAATTCCTTGTATTAAATTGAGATGAAAAAGTGAGAGTTTATGGCAGAAACTTTGATATACCAGAGTCAAGTAAATAATTACCAACAGGCATAATGTTTCACTAAATTGCCAGTTAAAGGAAGGTAAAATATAAGATTATTGATTATACTGTATTAATATTAAGGGCATTATTTTTCTGAACAACTTAAAAATTACCTTTGAGATCTAAATATTAATTATAAGCAAAATAAGTAAAAATGTAACTAAACCCTAGCTTTACAACTAAAGACTGTTTCTAAGAAAATATTAAGCTTAAGCTACTTTGAGCAAATTCCAAATATTATTTAGAATTTTATTCTAGTTAGATTACTTTAAAACATAATTGCTTTTTAAAATAGCTTTTAGAGTCAACTATTAAAGGGAATAAAAAAGAATAAACTATATTTTTCTTCCCAAAAGCAAATGAATGAGATGCTCAATCTATTTGCATAATCCTTTGCTATTGCTGTGTGAGAGGTAAAAAATAAAACTTAGACCCACGAGAAAGTTTTATTCTTTAGACCAAGAACAAGTTATAAAATAGTAACAAAAATGTATTTTTAAAATATAATATAAACCGTTTGAAATAATATACTTTGTTATTATATTTAATTCAGCAATATATGAGAATATTAAGTGTGATATATAGGCCATACACATGCACAGAGTATGTATACATATGTACATGCAGATACAAAGTTTAAAATGTCAATCATTTCATTGAAAAGCATTATGTTTTTCACTTTTCACTAGATCATTTGATTCTTACATACATGGAAAAAATTTTGCATAAAACATGAATAAATTGAGAATGCTTTAAATGATTAATAATATGTGTTTTGTATGAGTATAAATTTTATCGATATTAAAAGTATGAAATATTTCAGGTATTAGGAGCAAAAACAAAAATATTAATGTAATTAAATATAAAATGATTATGTTCTAATATTTGTATATATTCTGAACTTTTCATGCATTTTGAAATAATTTGACTGCTTATGATATCCTATAAAATTCAATTTTAAAATAATATTATTTTGCATCCTGACCTATACAGGCCTCTGCTATGGGGGTGATGGCCTGTCCTGGTGTCTGAGTGATTCCCAGGGCCCAGCAAAGGGACTAAGTTTCCAGAGCTCTGAAGACAAGCAGTAACACCCCAAAATATGGACTCATTTTCCACTCCACCTTCATTGGCGGAGCAGCTGCCAAGAACAAAGGTCGCATCTCCTGATACCTGGCAAACAAATGCAATATTGCCTCGCGAATTGATTGCTTCTCTGAGGTACCCACAAGTGTATTTTGTGGAGAAGCTTCGAGAACAAGTGGAAGAGCTGCTATCCTTCTATGATACTGGAGTTGATTCCACGAAAGAATCTGGAGGTCATGAAGGAGGCAATGGTATAGGCAGAGGAAGCGGCTACTGAGATTACTAAAAAGCTGGAAAAACAGAAGAAACGCTTGAAGAAGGAAAAGCAATGGCTGGCTGCAATCGCCCTTGCATCTCCAGAAAACAGCAGCAGTTCGCCAGAGGAGTGTGAGGAAACAAATGAAAAACCTAAAAAGAAGAAAAAGCAAAAGCTCCAGGAGATTCCTCAGGAGAATGGAACAGAAGACCCACCTGTTTCTTTACCCAAACCCAAGAAAAGGAAATCTTTGCCCTCGGAGGAGTTAGTTAATAATGATCTTGAGACAACTACCAATGGAAATCTTCCCAAGAGGAAGAAACCTTTAACCAAACAGAACACGTTAGTGAACCCAAAGAGGCAGCAAACAGGAGTGCTCTCAAGAAAAAGAGGAAAGTCTCTTTGAAGGAGGAACCTCTCAGGAGTAGACCTGAAGAGACTGCTAGCAACAAGAGTTCCAAGAAAAAGTAAAAGCTAGCCAAAACCGGTATGGCTCAGTGGATAGAGCATAGGTCTGAGAACCGAAAGGTCCCAGGTTCGATTCTGGTCAAGCGCATGTACATTGGCTGCTGGCACATCTCTGGTAGGAGGTGTGCAGGAGGCAGCAGGTAGATGTTTCTCTCTCATCGATGTTTCTAGCTCTCTATCCCTTTCCCTTCCTCTCTGTAAAAAAAATCAATAAAATATATTAAAAGAAAGAAAGAAAGAAAGAAAGAAAGAAAGAAAGAAAGAAAGAAAGAAAGAAAGGAAGAAAGAAAGAAACGGCTAAAGCTAGCCCAGGAAGATTAGAACGGATAGTACCCTGGTGGGGTATAACCACCAAGTTACCCACCCCCTATGTCCCAATAAAAGAAAATTCACAGAGTTCAAAAAATAAATAAATAAAAATACAATAATATTATTTTATTTCTAACTTTAGAGAAATTAATAGATTATCCTTTATTTAGAAATAATGGTTTTAAGAATTAAAAAATATTATGTGTATTTCTGACAGCTGGCAGAATTATAAACAATATGTATAACAATGAAATTTAATGCATGTGAGACATGGAATCCAATTCTAATTAAGTGAACTCTATAAAGTGAAATTAATTGTGTTTACCACCAAAACACCATCTGCTTCTTAATGGAAACTTGTTAAGAAAATGGAAAAGTTGTATTACACTGAAAAATATATCTGACTTTTTCATAGTGGAAAAAGCCAAATAAAATATCCTATTTATTGTACACATCATTATACATTTTTTTCTAATTGACTATGTATTGTCAGATACAAAGTACTCTGTCAAATTATTTAACAACATCTGAATATACACATGTTTGCATATATATTCTCTGTCTATAATCCTTCCCATGTCTATGAATGTAATGCAGTCTGCTCTACTAGTGAGAATAATTGACACATTATAATTGCCTTTTATATGTTCTGTTTTTACTCTCCAGTGGTGAGCATGTAATTTTTGGGTTAGATAAATGGACCAAGAATACATCAATACTTATGAAAAAAATCACTAAAGAAAGAAATGCAAGAAAGCTTATATAAAACCTAAATATTAAATTCTGTAATTTAGACAATTATTCATTGGTAAAGGGAGAACTCACTGAAAATGTTCTTAAATGTAATCTAATTGGGAACAAATTGTACTGCCTTTGTTTCACTTCTTTCCCTTCCTATCAATTGGCTCCTGATACATTACTTTAAACTTCACCTAAAGGAATTTATACTAAGAAAATGTATAACTAAAAAAAGCAGAATATCTCATGACAATTTTTGGAAGTTTACCTTTTCAAATCTGTTAATATAAAACTCTTACAAAAGTGTTGCTTCCATATATATCTAAATTGAGTATGACTAAGTGCTATGCAAAGAATGTGTTTGTTATTTATCTAAGTAAAATATAATATGGGGGCAGATCAGGGCCAGGCCAGCAGGGAAGAGGGGATGCAGGAGGTTAGCCAGCATTGCTTCTGATGGGGGGCGTGCAATCCAGGGTGAAGCCAGCTGAGGGGTGGAGAGGGCAGTTGGAGCTCCGATTAGGCCATTTGGCCAGCTCAATGTGCATCGTAGCAACCTATCGTCTGGTCATTCTAGTTGCTTGGCTTTCATATATAAAGATATGTAAAGCTCTTGCTGTCACCAATTGCATACGTGTGTTTCCATCTGTCATTGTGGATTATGAATTTGGTTGATACTTCTATTATAGAGAAAGGGCGAATAGCAATATTAAAATATTTCTTCTAAACTCTTCTTGGCCTTTTGGGTAAAATCAAGTGTAGTATCTGTTCTTATCAGTTTAAAATATTTCTTCTAATCATTCCCCTTTCAATGTGCACTGATTTTTGCACCAGGCCACTAGTATTAAATTGAATTGCAAGGAAATGAAGCTTCATTTATTTTTTAATCCTCACCCAAAGATATTTTTCTATTGATTTTTAGGTAGAGTAGAAGAGAGAAGGAAAGGCAGAGAAACACATCAACTGGTTGCCTTCTGCACAAACCCCAACCAGAGTCTGGCTGGGAAGGAACTTACAATCAAGGTAAGTGCCCTTGATCAGAATCCAACCTGGGACCCTTTGTTCTGCAGACCAATGCTCAATCCACTGAGCCAAAACTTTAATTTTTATGCTTCATGTAGGAAACATTATAGTTTTGTCCTAAATTATTCTGCTACTAGTTCTTCAATTTAAAACCAACATTTTCATAATACAGAAAAGAACTACCAGAACAGATTTTTAAAAGGCAGCTAGCAAGAACAGATAGGGCTCAAAATAGAGTAATCGTAGAATACTATGAATAGCAGGCAGCATGTCACGGAGTGTGCAGTACATCCTGCCTTATGCATATTTAGCATTTGTAATTTTGACTACACTTGGTATAACCTGTCAGGCATATATCAAAATGAAGCATATATAATATCTTCTCAAAATCTTGTGGGGAGATTACCTTTTTAACTTAATGACCAAGAATTTGACTAGCTTTTACCTATATGGTTAATATTTGTTAATATTTCTTCGTCGGTCCTTGTTGTCTCTGCCATGATCTGTAATCATATTCGTGGGGAAAGTGTAAACGTTGCCTCAAAGGAAGAAAAAAAGATAGGGATCTGAAAAATAATACATAGAAATATGAAAATAATGAGGTAAGGTGCGGAGGTTAAATTAAGTTTCAATGGGCTTATCTTTTTTTCTGTCATCACGGCCGTACTTGGGGCTATAGACCCATCTAGAATAGTGTTCCATTGTGGAAATAAAGCCAAGTGGGGTAGAATTTGGAAAGTTTTCAGTCATTATCAGAGTGAATAAGAGGATGATCCTGGAATGTAGTTGAATACTAAATATTCTGCAAGGCATGAATAAATCTAGAGCAAGGAAGCTTTGATCTACCCAGAATACTCCCACTCAGCAGTCTGGCTTCATAGAAAGTCAAGGCAAAAACTAAAAACAGACCCTTTATTTGGCTCTGCCAAGAGTGTGTTTAGGTTAACAACTCTGATTTGATCCCTTATTTTCTGTTAGATTTGGGTATGTCACTTAGCATATTTATTTTACAATTTAAAAAAAAAAATAGAGATAAATTTTAATGGCTACAAAAAGATTTTTGGATATTCAGTGATTTACTATCTCTCATCACGTACACTTTCTAAATGTTAGATTATTATGATTATCATTATTGCGGAACTTAAATGATATACTTATGGACTTTTTTTTTTACATTTGGAAGTATGTAAATATCTGTGTTTTCTTCTTCACAAATCCCTTACCATTATCTAATATTGAGAAACCAACACAATTAAGGACACTAAGTCTTGGGTGCAAACTGTAAGGGTCTTTGGATTTAGTCATTGTAATCTGTTTATTTCCCTTTCAATATTCTAAACTCAGATTCTTCTTCATCTGTGTTAATGAGGTACATGAGAAGAATTCAGCTTGACTATTGCAGACAATATCCCAATGTCCAAAAAGATAGAACAGATCAATGCCTCTTATTGATTATTTCCTTCACTGAACTTATGCCTTTATATATTTTTTATACATATTTTATCTATTTAGGCATAGATTTAAAGTAAAAATGGCAACAATGAGGTCATGGAAGTAATATAAATGAAGAGACTCATTTCCAAAAGCTGTGTGTATATGTATGATGCATTCATGCATCCATCTATATATACACATTTAGATATGTGCATATATTCATATATAAAAGGTTAATATGCAAAGTGTCCCCTTAAGAGTTTGACAGGGAGACTGGAAGTTCTATTGCTCACTATGACATGCACTGACCACCAGGAAGTGGTGTAGAACAAAGAAAGGCCCTGGCCAGCAGCTGGCAGATGAGAAAGGGAGGCCCAGGCTAGCAGCCTGAAGGCCTGATTGGCCCTGATCGCCTGCCAGACCTAAGGACCTTATCAGTGCAAGAATTTTGTGCACTGGGTCTCTAGTATATGCATATTTATACAGACCAACTTTTTGCTTCTTAATGAAAATGAAATTTTACCTTAGACATGTCTTTCACAACTCAAACAATCAAGACATAATTTGCTTTTTCTTACATCTGTTATGGTGTAAACTAGAGGTCGCCAACCAGTGAACCACTGGTAGTCTGTGTGCTCCAAAAGGTTGGCTACTGCTCGTGTAAACGACAGTTTAAGAGGTATGAGTAAGAACTGATAGACTGAGTAGAGAGCAGTGAGAGTTG